TGCAATGAAGCATATGGCCAGCCTCGCAGGCAAGGGTCTCTGTCGCAAGCTCCTGTATCATTATGGATCCCCTGACTGAGGAGGGCTAGTAGAACTGATTGAGGTGCAGTCTATCAGAACTTATCCAGCAAGTCTCAAGCAGAATCTCTGATAGACAGCTTATAGCTCAGTGTGCTGGCAGGGTTGGCCATGGCCCTGGCGGCCATGCCGGCTGGGGCGCTGAAGGCCAGTTGCAGTAATGTGTTCAGACCAAAGATGCTATCCTGCCGTTCTTTCCAGAATTCTGGGCCCAGACCTAGCAATCCCAAAATAATCAGTATCCCCTATGTAACCCCTATATAATCCCTAGAGGATACCTTTAAAAATCCCTATGAGGCCTATCAGGGGACTGGCCTCCAGTCGTTGGACTCCGTCCTTGGCTCGCTGCAGCAGCGGCTTAGCGCCGCGAGGCCGAAGAGGGTGCCAGAGAGCTGGGTTGCAGTTAAGGACCCTGAATTAAGTTACCATAAGGGGCATATAGGGTATACATGGTATATATGTATGGGGTTCAGGGTTCAAGGAACTTTAATGGAACTTGAATTAAGTTGCCATAATGGGTATGTAGGGTATATAGGGGTTAGAGCTTAAGGAACTTAATTTAGGTCACCATAATAGGCATACACAGTATTTACTACGGCTTCTCCAATATGGTAACTTAACGTAAGCTTCTTAACAGCAACCCAAAGAGTTGCCTATGTTTCCTTGTGAGCGCCTGCACGAGATATATCTCTTGGCTTCGTGCTTTGTACATGGGTGGTTGTCAAAATTATGGTCCCTTTTTGGGTACCCTAAATATTAGGTGCCGTATTATGAAAGGGATCCAAAAAGGGGCCATAATTTTGACAACCACCCACATGTGCGTGCGTCAGTCAAGCGGATGGAATCGCTGACCTCACAGCTCTGGCCAAGAAACTTGGCTTTTTTGGCGCCAAAGGGACATGATGTGAGGGTCGCAGACGAGGCACAAGCTGTGCACAGAAGCATACAGAAGCTATAAATCACTATATAACTCCAGTTTATCCCAGTTTCCATTTCATGTTCCATTTCCTGTTCCATTTGATTGTGAACTAGTAAGATCCCTATATACCCCTATATCCTAAACCCTAAACAGGACGGCATTTGCCGTGCCTGCACTGCTGTGCGATGCGCGTGTCTAAACCCTAAACAGTAGCTTCCATGTTCTTTTCCATTATCCCCTTTATATCCCCTAGATAATGCCTAGAAAATCCTTATATAACTGCTACAGCATTTAATCAGAGAGCCAAGCCCAAGGACTGACGCATCGCCAGAGACCTTTGCTCCCGTGCTGGAGAGCATCACCAAGTACACCCAGCGTATCCTGGCAAGATGCGGATTGGGGCTTTTCGCTCCACCTGCTAGAAGTTGTACCTAACCCTGAAACCCCACATCCAACATATGAATATCTATACATATATACACATATGTATGTACAATATATATATATAGCCCCTTATTCCTTACTAAGGAAGTAAAGCTTCTGTGGTCAATTCAAACCATGACAGCAAATCCATCGGCAATGCCGTGCAATGCAGGGAAACTTGTCATTGTTTGCTGCCATGCCTGCTATCGCTTGCTCTCTGCTTCAACTGCTACAGGAGCATAAGGGTTCCCAACATAAACACTAAACCTTATAAACGGATCCAAAAATGGACATTTTTGGACCATGTTTTGGAGAGCTCTTCATTTCAGGTTGGCGGGAAGATCTGAAGGCCGAGAAAGAAGCGGCCGTCTCCTGGCCCTGCAGTCTTTGCTACGGCCTTGTGGACATTTCCTCAAATCCGTAATTTTGGGAGAGCCCCCTGTTGGTCCAGACTTTCACATGGTAGTTTCCCAAAATAAGGGGACCTCAGTATAGACCCCAAAATACTATAGTCCTTATTATGGGGACCCCCAAAAAGGGTACCCCTAATTTTGGGAAACCCCTACATCATTTGAAAGAGTGTTGGGCAGTTGAGCTTGGAGTCGCTGTCTCAGATAACTCCCTTTCCTCTTAGTACTGTGGGTAGTGGGTATAGTCCCCCTTAAGTAGATAGAATATGGGGTATATTGTGATCTTATTATAATATACCCAAAGCCATATTCTATCTACTTAAGGGGGACTATATCATTCTAGGTAGAGGATTGGTGCGACTGCTGGAGAGGCTTTGTGAACTGAAGAGCGAACTAAAAGTCGAACTCAAAGTCATCGGGATCCCATGGTCAAAAAGGCAAACAACTGCAGGCATGTGTCAGATGTTTGCCAGAAGGTTCAACGTGGCAGGCGCTAATTTGTTTCAAGCCAGATCATGGTCACACGTCCTTGCAGCGTTGTTTTTGGGGATGCCCTATGCCCCTAAACCTAACTAAATGCAACATTTGGCGTGTTGCAAAGCCTCAGGCTCAGAAGTTGACGCGCGCATATGCTGCAGCAGTAGAATGCAAAGCCGATCTCCTGAGCCCTGCAGCTGCAAGACAGGCTTTCCAAATTTGGGTTTTGCATTTTTTTGTCCATTTGATTTTCCACATTTGCAGACCGGAGCCCGAAGAGACAAGCGCCTATACACACCTACACGTCGTTACATGCCTTCTAGCCCCAGGGCTTAGCTACAGGGCTTTGTCTGGGTTGCTGTTAAGGAACTTAAATTAAGTTACTATATTGGGGCAACCCTATTATTTACTATATATACCCATTATGCTAACTTAATTTAAGTTCCCAAACCCTAAACCCTATATATCCCCCTATACCCCTATACAACCCTATATTATGGTGACTTAACTGAAGTTCCTTAACAGCAACCCAGTTGTTTGCTGGCAGTGAGAGCCCAAGATGCCCAAATGCACAACCAGTGCTTTTGCCTCAGGTGAGATCGAAGCGCCGAACGCTCTTAGAGTCGCTGGGCTAGCCATCCTCCCTTTCAAGGAAGTTAGACCATACCTTAACCTACCAAAACCTACTTTTTTTGTAGGTTCCCTATAACTTCTATATTGGGGATTATCATAGGACCCTACAAAAAAGTAGGTTTTGGTTTTCCCTATAATCCCAACATACACACCTATACGTGTCTATATATATATATATATATGTGTGTGTGTGTGTGCGTGTGTGTGTGTGTATATATATGTATATATAACACCTACATTACTATATACTATAATGTAGTAGCTTCCATGTTGTTCTCCATTATATCCCTATATACCCCAATATATACACCCTATTAACCCTATTGTAACATAGTAGTTTCCATTTTCTTTTCCATCATCCCTATATAACCCCAACTCTAAACCCTATTCCTATATACCCCCAATGTAATCCCTAAACCCTAAATCCTAAACCCTAAACCCTAATCCCTGTAGAACTCCACCCGCGTGTCAGTGCTGGGGGTTGGTTGGGCTGAGCCTTTGAGCTGCTGAAGCACTGGGGAGGTTAGGGTTTAGGGTTTATAGGGGATATATTGGGGTTCATAATTATAGGGTTTATATAGGGGCAATATAAGGATAGTGGAAACTACTATATTGTAATAGGGTACTGGGGTGTATCTCTGAATCACTGGTTTGGATCTGGGGATTGCCGTGCTCCAGATGATTATGCTAGATCACTCTCAGCCCAATGTCCTACCAAGGGGGCTTTGCCAAAGCAGCGTGCTGCGCACAAGTCTTGCCGCGAGAAGCAGGCTGCAGAGCACAGCAAGGTCACCGTTTGTGAGGCACGAGTCCGCAGTGTGCCCCGAAGAAAATCGGTGCATCCAACACGATGTTGGATGATAGGCCATAAGAAGGCAAAAGGCCGAAGGTCTGAGCAGGTTCTCTGTCTGCGGCTTGCCGTAGAAGAGCGCTGCTCGTTTGAGATGAATGAGCCATAATGAGCATCAGCAGGTACTAACAAGCGGCGTACCCCATTGGTTGCACGCAAAGTTTCGGAGAGCACAGCATTTTGGTGCCAGCACTGGCAATTTGTAGCCCCTTGGTGAGGCCGACCTGTACGGCAAGAACAAAAAGCGGAAAGAGTCCCGTGGCACAAAATCACCCTGCGGCACCTTGCCGTCGGCACACCTCCTCTAGCTTTGAGGGTTCTATGCAGCGTCTTGCATCCAGGCTATGTGCTAATTTCAACGACAACTACAACAAGATCCCCTCCCCGCAGAATGTATGGGCTGCCGAATGTGAGGTCCACGGCACCTTGGGCTTGCATACGTCCCACGCTTGTAATGTGGACCTACTGGGATGTCAACGGCCGACGCCGGTATGCCTTTGAAGTGTTGGGCGTTTAATGACAGAGTGACTTCTTTCACTAGCTTCAGGCAGTCCAACAAGTTGTGCTTCCCAGACTGGACCTTGGTCTTGCAAAGGTGACAGCACAAAGGATTACTTGGGCAACCAGCTGAATTTCTGGGATACGCTTTTGGCCAAACATGATGAGGCCGAAATGGAGTCCACGTTGACTGTTGACTGCAGCACAACCTAAGAAGGGTTGAGACACCAGTTCTAAAGGGATCCAGATCTCAATGGACGATCGTCAAGTGGAGATGCTTGTGGAATGAGCGAATGCTTTCTTCGAGGCTGACAATCAATGCAAGAATGCAACGGCTGCTGCTCTTGAAAAGGAGAAGGAATGCTGCTTGGCAGCATCCTGCAGTTAGCATGCGCAGACTCGTAACTATCGTAATTGTGTTTCTTGTGCTTTCTCTTGCAGAAGCTGTTGATGATTGCATGGTAGGGAGCAGTAGCGGTGTGACGCGGTAAGACATGCTCGCTTCCACGATGGTAAGGCTTAGCATTGGCGGATGTCCGTGCCAATGCTACAAAGCACTGCGATGATATGCAGGCCTCTTGAGTGATACTATCTACTGGCAGCTAGGCATTCTCTCGAAGTGCGCGAATGGCAGGACAAGATGGATGCGCTGGCCTGCGACCAGATGCGTGGGCGTATGGGTGCCTGCACTGACTACAGCAGGCCAGCAGCCATGGGAACATCGATCTTGTCGTGTTGCAGTTTAGGCATCTAACATTATATAAACGTATATAGTCCCAAATATAACCCCACATATAGCCCTGATATAACCCGCATATAGCCGTGTATAACCCATAGTTCTTAATTGGCCGCAGCCTGGCAGCCAGGTGCTTCAACAAGAGCTTAGAGAACTGGCGTTCTTTGCAGACGCTCAGCCTTCGCGTTCATCAGAACGGCCGTTGCGCTGTGCAGTAAATGTGCGGTTCCGTGTAGGTATCACAGTCTTCGGCGATTCGCATGTTTAGGGCTTAGGGTTTAGGGGTTTAGGGTTTAGGGGTGCATCGCGCCTTCTTAGTTCTGGGTCTTCTGGATTGTGCAACATGTCCCTGGGCTGCAAACTCAGGAAGTTGACCTGTGCCGCAGGCGGTACGGAAGCCAACCTAAAGGCTCGTCTTTGCATTCCTACAAGGACGTAAGGAACTGCTATACTGGGTTGCTGTCAAAGAAGGGCGGCCTTATTGTTTACAGTACTACATACCGTTATATACCCACAGTATAGTAACTCATTTTCAGTCACTTAACAGCAGCCCAAAACTACCAGAATTATCATCTTGGGATCATGATACGGGGGTTCTCAAAATCAAGGTACCTTTGAAGGGGTTTATATGGTCTATGTAGGGATATATAGGGCTACTGGAAGAAGAAAATGGAAACTACTATTTGGGGTTCAAGGATTAGGGTGTCCCAAAAGTAGAGATACTTTTTTTTGGGGCCCCCATAATAAGGATGATAGTATTTTGGGATCTATATTGGGGTCCCCCTGTTTAGGGAAACTATCATGCAGGGAATGGAAAAGAAAATGGAAGCTACTAAAACTTATTATCATATTATAGGAGTATATAGGAAATGGAAAATGGAGACAACTAAAACGTATTGTTCTTAATAATTCTTCTAATCCTGCACTTCTCTTGCAAGGCTCAGATGCTGGAAGTGCAGAAGCTGGAGTGCGTCAATGAGGCCCATTATTACGATTTTTTCCGATTACGATTAAAATCAGTTAGTATTGCTACTACTATTATTAGTGTTACGATGTTTGCTATGATGTCCTCTGTTTCTGAGCCATCAGGATTCATACCTCAAATAGGGATTGTTATTTCTATTCTTGCTACTAGTACCAGCGTTTATACTTGTCTTACTATACTTGTTATTCTAATTGGTAGCCAGCAGAGTGAAACTTAACCAGGTCATGAAGGCCAACGCTATGCCAGCGTGGGCCGCGGGAAGCTCTGCCTGCAGCAAGAAGAAGTTCAATGCGCCAGGGCCCCTGAAAGCATCAGAGGTTGACCAGTGATTCTGATGTCAAAGTATGATCATAATCTTTAATATGTACCATATTAGAATATAGTAGTTTCCATTTTTCTTTTCCGTTATCCCTCTATTATATTGGAAATAATATTTGCTTCAGAGCCTAGAAATTGTCAGAATGATGAGAAGCCAAGGGGTTTGTAAAAGGCCGAGGCAGCTAATGCTGAGGTCTTCCATGGTCATTGACTTCTGCCAGAAGGGGCCACCTGCGCGTCTCCACCTAGACGACTGCGTCACTCGTTTGGAACATCTGCGGCAGAGTAGCTTCGACATGCATTTTACTCAACGCTCGCTGAGGATGTGGATCCTTCCACAGACCCTGGCATGCCGGGTAGTGCACCTTGGCTTGTTGGCAGCCAATCCCCCAGATTGGGCAAAACCATGCCATACCAGACCCTGCAGAACCTGACGACGTGAAACGGCTGCACCAGCAGCATGACCAGAAGCACCCCATTTCTCGCAGTTGTGTTTGTAGCAGGCCAGTTCATTACATACAGTAACGCATGCGCACGCGTTATCATGCGTTTGATGTGCAGTGCATTCGAACATTGCTCTGTCTTGAAAAAAAGGCGTCCTCATGCTCCCTTTCGCGGGTATCACAAGCATGTTCGGGCCAGGCCCCATATGTCAAACTGACGTATTCTCCGCTGCCGAAGACAGCGGCTGCCAAAGCTTGCGACTCCATGTGCTGCTTGGAGCAGGCCTAAGTTCACTGAGCTGAGAGTGATAGAAAAGGTTCTCAAACAAGACCTGCCAAAGAGTCGGATCCTGACCATGAACGGGTCTAAGATCTTGACAAATCCCGATTTGCTTTGGCCGGGGGGCTATTGCGGCTGTGTTCTAACATGCTCCAACGGCACTAAAAAATCGGCCTTCGATCTAAGTTGAATAGAATCACCCGTTGTCCGGAGAACTCAGCAGCAACAGCGGCAGCATTTCCGTCCGTTGAAAAGCTTGGCAATTCTGTTTTGGAGGTCCAATGCCCGGAGAACTCAGACGGAATCAGCACCGTCCTGGGCTGCGTATGCAACAAGGCCTTTCAACCGTCTGGTGGGCGTGCTTTTCATGTGAAATTTCGATAGGGGCGCAGGATTTTATTGACACTGTAGGTCTATCCACCTGCAACCATTGTCTGAGCAATAGATTTGGAAATCATCGCTGTGCTGCAAGCGTGGGAGCTGATGTTGTCGCTGCAGGGATTTCATGGGAAGATCGTGGCCTTGGCTGACCCACCTTACAGCAAGGGGACATGTGAGCCCGTGCCTTGCATGCATGCTAGCTCTGAACGATGTGAATTACTGGCTGAGGGTCGTCTGCAGCTAGCGAAGAGATGTAATTTCAGCTTGTGATTTGAGGTGCCTTGTCCGGCAAACTCTATGGGCGAGAGTGTCGGGAAGGGCTGCAAGTGCAACGCAGGCTTCCATGGAACCATCGTACCCACAAGAGAGGCACCCTACTTCCGCGGGAGCTGCGCAAAGGTTGCATGCCCGGAGGATTCCGTCGGGGAATATGTGCCAGATGGGTGCAAATGCTCTGCTGGACGTGATGGTGAGATTTCAGCCTTGGACCGGCCTCCGTACTACTCTGACACCTGTGGGGCAGTCAGTTGCCCATCTAGCAGTGTTGGCAAGGATGTGGTGCAAGGCTGCGAGTGTTTGGCCGGGTTCAATGGTACCATCAAGCCCAAGCTGGGCGAGCCTTTCTTCACAGGCAGCTGCCAGCATGTCCCCTGCCCACCTGAAGCAGACGGTGATAGCGTTGATGTGGGTTGCCGCTGCAAAGCTGGCTACACGGGCCAGGTTTCGGCTATGAAAGCATCACCTTTCTATGCAAGCACCTGCACGGAGGTGGAGTGTCCTGCAGGTACCACAGGCAAGTCTGTGTTGGATGGCTGCACCTGCAATGCAGGTTCCACTGGCGACATAGTAGCATCCTTGAACTCGCCTTACTACGAAGGGTCTTGCAAAGCTGTGGCATGCCCATCAGGGACTGTTGGGTACAACCTGCTCAAGGGCTGTCAATGCCCAAAAGGACACCAGGGCACAGTGAAGGCCACGGCAAAGTATCCTTTCTTCGAGTCGACGTGTGAGGCTATTCCATGCCCACCCCAGGCCTATGGCAAGAATGTGGCAGAGGGCTGCACTTGCAAGAAGGGATACTCTGGCACTGTGAGTGCCACGGATGCATTCCCCTTCTTTGTTTCAAGCTGCTCGCCGGTGCCTTGCCCGGCGAATTCAGCGGGTGCTTCTGTACCGGATGGCTGCCAATGCAAGGCCGGCTTCGAAGGTGCCATAGTAGAAAGTGCAACAGCACCGTACTTCAATGGCACATGCAAGGCAGTGCCATGCCCGGCAGACTCATTCGGAACTAGCGTGCCTGATGGATGTACCTGCGAGCCTGGAATGGTGGGAGAGGTTTGGGCCACCTCCAGGGCCCCTTTCTACAAGAATACTTGCAAGTCGCTTGCCTGCCCTCCACATTCCAAGGGCCCGTCGGTGCCCGAAGGTTGTACGTGCGAGGCAGGCTACAGTGGCGAGGCCGGGAACGAACTTAAACTGCTCGTATTTTCAGAAGTATCTTGGAACAGTCTCTTGACATTGTTTGCGTGCAAGAAATTCACCTGGCACTTACTGCCAACAATATCATTGCCTACTAAATTGCTACATATCAAACGTTCATCGTTCGAATTGCCACGCGTATTTCTTGTAGTCAGTGCAAACTACGCCGCACATGCAGGCATCATGTAGGCATCATGTCAAGCTACGTCCCAGCAGGTCAAGGAGATTGTCGGCGGTGTGAACAGCAGCTGCCGTGCAGTTGCTTGCCCCGAGAATTCTGAGGCCGGGTAGACTGTACCTGGACCCCCAAAGTAGGTAAACTAATCGTCTTAAAAAATCGGCCAACAGGAAATTCTTTTACATACTTTGAGGGTTCAGGTAGTGGTGTAAGTTGCAGAGGCCAAGCTTCACAGCGTTCGTCATTGCAATGAGGGGTGAGTCCACGTGAGGAATAAGCTGTCCCAAGCAGAAAATAGTGTGAGGGACACATGCTGTGGCGCACATCTAGGTTAGTTAGGGAAAGCAGTTCCTGAATGCTGGCACCCTGGAAGGGATCGCTGGTGGCCACTGGATGCACTTGCAAGGCTGGCTTTGCGCCTTGGACGAGCTCAGGGCTGTGCGGGAACATGAGCCATAGTCTAGACTCCTAGTATCCCCTTAATTAATAACCCCTATAGCAGTCCCCTATATAATCCTTTCAGGGGTTTAGACTATAGATCACATGAGAATACCTGTTGTACAGATGTAGGAGACCAAAGTTCACAGATTCGCATAGCAGGCAGATGGTTCCAGCTCGGTTGAGCCCGCGTAGGGATAGGTGGCATCATTAGGTTCTGATATGGAGTCACTGCTGATGAGTGCTCCCTCTTTAGGGGTCTCAGAACAAGGATTGTAACATTTATAGGGTCTATATTGGCATCCCCTTCATTATGGAAACTAGAACGTAAACCCGGTCTCCATTTCATTTTTCCTTTGATTCTTCATTTAGTATTGGGGCAACAACACCAACACATTCCTATATAACCCTGACCTATACAAGGCGCCCCCTAGTTACGGAAATCACCATATCTGATAGGTTAGGTATCCCCAGAGACTGCAGGTAGCACAGCGTACGGCTTGCACTAGCATGCTAATCAACAGTAACATTGGGGGTTATGACTTTTATCAGTACTCGCACTACCATTTTTATTGTCATTATTGCTTAACATACATTTTGAGCATTGCTACTGGTACGGCTGCCATTCTACGACTGATATACTATTGTCGTTGCCATTTTATGTGTTGCTCTTTGATGTTCTTTGTGTTCCTGGCCTCAAATCCGAAGCCCGAACCCTAAACCTAAACCCTAAACCCAAATAAGGAGGGCACCATCAAGCCTTCCACCACAGCGCCCTTCTACTCCGGAAGTTGCTTCTCGTCTGGCACGTGATTGCAGCAGCTAACTTCAGGGCTCATCTGAGCTATATCGGGGTTATATAGGGATTATGGGGGATTATATTGGGGTGATATAGGGATAATGAAAAAGAAAATGGAAACTACTATTCAGGGTTTAGGGTGTATAGGGTCTAAACTCCTTAAAGGAGGCCATATAAGGGATTATATAGGGGGCTACTATAGGGGTTCTTGAGGGGGGATACGAGGAGTTCAGACTATAGCTCATATTCAGTCGCGGTGGGGGTTCTGTATGATTACAGTATGCACTCTTGACAATTGTTCACTGTGATAACGCTAGCTGTCTGCCCTTTTAGCACCCAAGATGCTACATGGGAGATTGTCAAAATTATGGTCCCTTTTTGGGTCCCCTAAATTAGGCCCGGTATTAGGCTCCGTATTATAATAGGGACCCAAAAAGGGACCATAATTTTGACAGTCCCCTACATGCCCGACTTCCTCAGGTGCAGCAGTGAAATGCCCGGAGTTCTCGAACGGCACGAGTGTCGCTGCAGGATGCGTCTGCAATGCCGGCTACAGCGGCCGCATCACGGCCTTGAAGTCTGCGCCTTTCTTTGAGGGCGTTTGCACTGCAGAAGGTTGCCCGGAAAATGCAGAGGGAGATGACCTTGCCAGTGGTTGCACGTGCAAGGCAGGCTATACAGGATCGGTGGAGGCCACCAAGCAAGCACCCTTTTTCAAAGGAAGTTGTACGGCGGTCGGCTGTCCTGCAAACAGCACTGGCGATGATGTGCCCACCGGTTGTTCCTGCCTCCCAGGTTTTGAAGGAACAGTAGAGCCCAGCTCAAAGCCACCGTTTTACGTCAGCACCTGCAAGCTTGTGCAGTGCCCAGCCAACAGCAAGACCACCAACACCCATGCCTTTGGCTGCAAGTGCCTGGCAGGGTACAGTGGTGACATCTCGCCCACAAGCACGGCACCCTTTTACAGTGGAGAGTGCAAACCGGTGGCTTGCCCAACTCACTCTTCTGGCACCAGTGTTACTGCAGGGTGCTCCTGCGATGCCGGTTTCAAGGGTGCAGTTGTGGCCACCCAGCAGAGTCCGTGGTACATGAGTACTTGCGAGGATATCGCTTGTCCTAAAGGATCAGAGGGACGATCTCTCAGCTCTGGATGCATTTGCCCTCCTGGACAGAGCGGCACCATTGAGGCAACGACGCAGAAGCCCTACTACAAAAGCAGTTGCAAACCTGTCGCCTGCCCCATCAACTCGGAAGGCAGCAGCGTTGTTGACGGATGCTCATGCAAGCCTGGCTTTGCAGGGTCTGTTGCTGCTTCCTCCACTGACCCTTTCTTCCAGAGCAACTGCCTAGCTGTGCAGTGTCCAGCAAACTCCGTAGGCAAGGACGTGCCCAGTGGCTGCGCATGCAAGCCAGGCTACAAGGGAGAGATAGTAGCCATTTCAGAAGCTCCTTACTATACGGGCGCTTGTGTGGCAGTAGCCTGTCCAGCAAATTCGACTGGAGCCGGAGTACCTGGTGGCTGTGTCTGTGCGGCTGGCTTTAGTGGCTCCATTGTTGCGACTTCGCAGTCACCTTTCTATAGAGGAAGTTGCGCTGCACAGGCGTGCCCTGCCAAGTCCAGTGGAAAGGATGTTCCCAGCGGCTGCAAATGCTTGCCTGGCCACAATGGTGCCATCACTGCAGATTTGAAGGCGCCCTACTTCAAAGGCTCCTGCTGGCCAGTTGCCTGCCCAGCAAATTCTGATGGCACTGATGTACCAAGCAAGTGCACCTGCAGGGCAGGCTTTACAGGCAAAATTGAGGCTGCTCCTCTTGAGCCTTTCTACAGTGGCAGCTGTCAAAGTGTCGCTTGTCCACAACACTCCACTGGAAACAGCCTTAGTGAGGGATGCATGTGTGACGCTGGCTACAGCGGAACTATCAAGGCGACGTCTGCCCATCCCTTCTTCTCAGGCAGCTGCAAGCCTGTTTCATGTCCAGCAGGCTCAACGGGAGCAGATGTTCCCAGCGGCTGCTCCTGCAAAGCTGGCTACAGTGGCAGCATTGACGCTTCCAGAGATTCCCCATTCTTTGATGGCACCTGTGTGGCTGTGGAATGCCCGGATAATTCAGAGGGCCGTTCAGTACCCGAGGGCTGCGTGTGCAAGGCCGGCTTCAGTGGAAATATCTCCAAGTCGACAGATGCTCCATACTTTGAGGGCAGCTGTGTGCCGGTGAGTTGCCCAGCCAACTCGGCAGGAGTAGATGTTACATCCGGTTGCACTTGCAATGAGGGCTACAGTGGATCTGTTGTGGCAACTAGCACAGCGCCATTTTACAAAAGCACTTGCGAGCCTGTGGCATGCCCAGCAAATTCCATTGGGAAGGATGTCCCAAGTGGCTGCTCCTGCAAGGCGGGCTATACAGGCAGTGTTCTGCCCAGCGCAGATGCGCCGTTTTACCTCAGCAGTTGCGAGCCCGTTGCCTGCCCCCAAGATTCAACTGGCAATAGCGTGCCCGAGGGTTGCACATGCAAAGCTGGCTTCTCCGGCAAGATTTCTGCCAAAGCAGATGCGCCATACTTTGATGGCTCTTGCCAGCCAGTGGCCTGTCCTGCCAACTCCAAAGGCGTGGACATTCCCTCAGGCTGCAGATGTGAGGACGGCTTTAGGGGCAAAATTGTGGCTTCCACAAAGGCGCCTTTCTTCTACACTGGATCTTGTGAGACTGTTGCTTGCCCAGCAAACTCCAAGGGCAAGAGTGTTGCCGACGGCTGCACATGCAAGGAAGGATTTAGTGGGTCTGTGACTGCTCTGTCGTCCACGCCCTTTTACCTCAATGATTGTCAGCCAGTTGCATGCCCAGCAAACTCTTTTGGCAAAAGCGTACCACAGGGCTGCTCATGTAATGCTGGCTTCACAGGCAGCGTTACTCCCACCAGCGATGCCCCGTTCTATCTGAACTCATGCAAGGAGGTGCCCTGCCCAGCTGACTCGATGGGTCAGGGCATTGCCAGCGGCTGCAAATGCCATCCTGGCTTCAGTGGCACAATTCAGGCAAGGGGGTTTAGGGCTTAGGGTTCAGGGTTTAGGGGGGGGTAATGTAGGGGTTATCTAGGGATTATATTGGGGCTATATGGGCTTGGGTAAAACCCCCTTGTCAGAATTTATAGAAGAGCGGTCCTAT